GGGGGCAGTGTATGTATGTGTGTGGGGGGCAGTGTGGCTTCGGTATTAGGAGCACATTTAGTTCGTCATTGTAGATGGTGGACATTGTGGCTGGGCCACCCAGTGTATATATGTGTGTGGGGGCAGTATATGTATGTGTGTGGGGGGCAGTGTATGTATGTGTGTGGGGGCAGTGTATATATGCTGTGTGTGGGGGCAGTGTATGTATGTGTGTGGGGGGCAGTGTATGATGTGTGTGGGGCAGTGTATGTATGTGTGTGGGGGCAGTGTATGTATGTGTGTGGGGGTTGTATGTATGTGTGTGGGCGTATGGATGTGTGTGGGGGCAGTGTATGCATGTGTGTGGGGGGCAGTGTATATATGTGTGTGGGGCAGTGTATGTATGTGTGTGGGGGGCAGTGTATGGATGTGTGTGGGGCAGTGTATGTATGTGTGTGGGGCAGTGTATATATGTGTGGGGGGCAGTGTATGTATGTGTGTGTGGGGGGCAGTGTATGGATGTGTGTGGGGGCAGTGTATGCATGTGTGTGGGGGCAGTATGTATGTGTGGGCAGTGTATATATGTGTGGGGGTTGTATATATGTGTGTGGGGGCAGTGTATATATGTGTGTGGGGGGCAGTGTATGTATGTGTGGGGCAGTGTATGTATGTGTGTGGGGGCAGGTATGTATGCAGGGCAGTGTATATATGTGTGTGGGGCAGGTATGTATGTGTGTGGGGGCAGTGTATGTATGTGTGTGGGGCAGTGTATATATGTGTGTGGGCAGTGTATATATGCGTGGGGGGGGCAGTGTATATATGTGTGGGGCAGTGTATATATGTGTGTGGGGCAGTGTATGTATGTGTGTGTGGGGGCAGTGTATATATGTGTGTGGGGCAGTGTATGTATGTGTGTGGGGGCAGTGTGTATGTATGTGTGTGGGGGCAGTGTATGTATGTGTGTGTGTATGTATGTGTGGGCAGTGTATGTATGTGTGTGGGGGCAGTGTATGTATGTGTGTGGGGGGCAGTGTATGTATGTGTGTGGGAGAGGAAGGAGGGTATGGAAGCTTTTAAAAAGTTTTTTTAAAAAGTATTTAATAAAATATATTGATGTCCCCCCTCCCTTCTTACCTTTGTTGAGGAGGAGGGGGGACATTTCTCCATCCCTGGTGGTCCGTGGTGAATCCCTGGTGGTCCAGTGTGGAGTGAAGTCTAGCCCGCGCTCCCGTGGTAACCGCGGCAACGCTCCAAATCTCACGAGAGGAGGACCCGGAGGAGCTGCTGGTAAGAGCTCCCGGGTCCTCTCTCACTCCCTCCCCTGCCGGCTGTCAGCAATGTGCCTGCGGACCGGGGAGGGAGCTCTCTGATCTCTGATCTCCCTCCTCGGTCCGCAGGCACATAGCAGGGCTGGCACTTGGACAATGCCAGTCCTGCATTAGTCGACAGGGGAGAATACTGGGGGGGGCAATTGCCACTAGGCCCTGATATAGGGGGAAAGGTTTTAGATAAGGTTCCGTAACAGTGAAAAGACAGGTTATTGAACTATGTACAATGCAACATTCAAACTCATATAGAATTATGAACAAAAGTGCCAGAAATATGGCAAGGTTCCCATAGGGGGAACCATGGGGGTCAGAGCGAAGTACTTCGATCCTGGTTGAGGGTGAATTTGTTAACTTATATGTTGACCCATTTGGTTATGTTGTGCTGGTACCTCATTTATAATAGAGTGTTTTGGTTAGCCTTGCTTTTTATATTATGTGGCCATAGGGTTCTCTAGGACATCGTGCTTGGTATGTTTCTCTTCATGTGTTTTTTTTTTTTCTTTGTAATAATTATTTTATTTATTTTTTTAAAAATTTGCACGTCTATTATCAATACGAGAAGTAGGTTTGTATGTAGACATAATAGTAATGTTATTGGGAAGTGCTAGCTCGAGCCTTAGTGGTACTCATTTGATGCATTATAGCATTCCCCGGCTACTTTTTGTATGTATATCCCCCGGCCTGGTATGGCTAATCTGATAGCTACATTTACATTAACAATATGTTAGGATGGCTATACTGTATGTCTGTATATAATGCGACAACAAGAAATACTTGCGGGCTCAGGAAAAGTCCATGAATACTTTGTGCTCTGCGGTCCGGCGGCTATTTGCGCGCCTTCTTCCATGCAGAGGGTTGGCGTCCATTAGAAGCTGTCTCCGGTTGCGCGGCAGGTGGATTGAGACCCCAGTCTTTTAACCTCTGCAGGCCGTCCTCCGGGGATGTGATCGCCATGAGGGTGCCGTTTCGCTGTATCAGTAGCTTAGTCGGGTATTCCCACCTATACGCGATGCTGTTGTTTCGCAGGAGTTCTGTAATGGTGTTGAAGGTCTTCCTCTTCCTGAGTGTCATGGCGGAGATGTCTGCAAAGATTCCGATTTTCTGGTACTCTGTAGGTAGGTCTTTGCGTGCACGGCTTGCTTTGAGAACCGCCTCCTTGGCATGATAGTAATGCATTTTCAGGACAATGTCCCTTGGTGTGTGTGCGGGTAGATATTGGGGTTTTGCCACTCTGTGGATACGATGCATCAGCAAGACATCTTGTGGTAAGTCAGGTACAAGAAGACGGAAGAGCCCCGTTGCATAGGCGGGCAGATCCTGGGGGCTTATGTTTTCGGGCACATTCTGCAGTCTTAAGTTACTGCGTCGTGCGCGGTCCTCCATGTCTGCAATTTTGGCCTCATAGTCATTCAATCTGTCCCATGCTTCTTCCACCTTAGTAGTTAGGCGGTTGTGTGCCTCCATTTGTGCCTCCATGTGGTTTTCTAGGTCCGAGGTGCGGGAGCTTAATTTGTGGATATTGGTGCAGAGGTCTGTAAATGATCGCTGCAGCGGACCTTGTAATTTCGCCGCCATGTCATCGAACATAGCTTGCAGCCCCTCCGTGGTGAGTATTAGGCCTGTAACCTCTGTGTTTGTTCCTTGTTCGCTGTCTGTCTCGGCGCCATCTTGGGATTGCTCCTGTATCACTGCTCCTCTTGCTTGCCCCTGTTTGGCGCCGAAAAGTGTAATTTGTCCTGTTTATCGGACGCTCTTTTGTTTTTGTTATGAGACATGGTCTGGATAGTCTTTGGTGCTCAGTTTTCCTAGCAGAGCATGCGCCCGCTCGCGTTCAGGTCAAGGCCATGTGTCGCTGAGCATTTTTGTCTGTGTCAATATTGATGAGAGACAGTATTATTCAGATAAAAGTGACACCACGCTTGAATCAAGCGTCCAGAATGACATGGACCGCTACGTCCGTGATCAATTAATAGCCAATAAAAACACAAGTATGGCGTCATTGTATCAACTCAGGTCAATGGAGTTTTGGTGTCGCCCAAATGATATCAGATGCTAGAGATGTAAAATCACAGTTCACCAGAGATTTGTGCCCTGTCGTAGTCGCTAGTAGCCTGAGTTTGTGTGTAGAGTGCATTTGTTGACTCTGGAATTATAACCTTGGCTTGTTTCTCCACTATCTTGACTTCTGTACTCATTGACCTTTGGCTTGTGTCACCGTGTTGTTGTCTTTGTGTATCCCTTGACCTCGGCCTGTCCTTTGATCATTCTGGCTTTTGTAAAGTATTAAGCCCGGCCACCTAACGACCAGTAATACCATTATTATTATTACTGCTATTTATAAAGCGCCAACAGATTCCGCAGCGCTGTACAATTAGTGGAGAAACGTACAATATACACAGACAAATACAAGAGGTAGAGAGAGCCCTGCCCGTAAACTGAGATCTAGCCATTGGAGATCTTTTATACAAAGTGCGTGGCTAGATGGCCCGTGAGCTTACAATCTAAAGGATACCATGGGCATATGAGACAAGAGGTAGCAGGGGGAGTCTGGAGGTGATGGCTGTAAGAGTTAACAGAGAAGCAGCTATTGGTAAGGTGTTAGGGGAATGAAGAGGTAATTGGGTGAGAATCTCAAACAGCTGGAGAGGCATGCTATATATTACCATTAGTAATTTCTATTTACCTAGCAATTATATATTGCTTGCTCTATTTTTCTACAGAAAAATATTGAGTGTTAATTGTCATGTTATGAAGTAGTTGAAATTATGTAAAATAAGAAAAATAGACCTGAATTGTACTTCTTGAAACCAAAAAAACATGCTAATAAGCGGTATTAGTTTTCCACTGAATTGTACATAGACAAATTAGTATATAAAGGTAAATAACAGTTTGCAACATGAGGATGAGGATAACTTAAATGTACAAATATGGACCAAGTCCCTTCTTAAGAGTAATAAATGTAATATGATGCTTATTTGGGGATTGCAGATTCCCATAAATGGTAGCAGAATATAACTACTAAGGTTGTATTCTGTTACAATGAGAGAAAAGGCGGTGGAGTGTCTTTACAGTCCTCATGCAAGAAAGTTGGCAAGGATGGGAGGGTTTGAACGGGGTGATAACTAAATATTAATTATTATTTATTATATTAAATAATATTATATTGTTAATTATTGTATCATCAAAAGGAGTCAGCATTGTTTTATGGTGGAAAAATCATGTAAAACTAAACAAATTACATTCTGTGAAAAGTTGATTTATGGCACATCTTGGAGTGTTGCTATCGATGTGATTTACTCCGATTTCTCTAAAGAATTGGTCTTAAAATCAAGTGGTATGGAAAATTGTTAAGTTGGAAAACACTGGTAAGCAGGGTTCTGTTTTGGTTGATGATTGTGCTGGGTTTAAAGTAATTGTTTTTGCAAATATCCCAAATGTAGGTAATGCAAAATACAGTTCAGACAGAGTGTTACTTCTCAGAATATTTGGTGGACAGAGTGGTACCTCACAGAGTCACTATACTACTGATCTTTCTTTATAGAATAGGCAACTGCTTTGAGAAGTTCCTGCCTGATGTAAAAAATAAGAATAAAAATACCAATATCTTCTGCCCTCTCCTATATCCTCTGCTCCCTTCAATATCCTCTGTCTCCTCCAATATCCTCTGTCCCCTCCAATACCCTCTGCCCCCTCTAATATCCTCTGCTCCCTCCATTATCCTCTGCTCCCTTCAATATCCTCTGTCTCCTCCAATATCCTCTGTCACCTCCAATATCCTCTGTCATCTCTAATATGCTCTTCCCCTCTAATATGCTCTGTCCCCTCTAATATCCTCTGTCCCCTCCAATACCCTCTGTCCTCTCCAATACCCTCTGCCCCTCTAATATGCTCTTCCCCTCTAATATGCTCTGCCCCCTCTAATATGCTCTGTCCACACCAATATCCCCTGCTCACTCTAATATCCTCTGCTCCCTTCAATATCCTCTGTCTCCTCTAATATCCTCTGCTCCCTCCATTATCCTCTGCCCCTCTAATATCCTCTACTCCCTCCATTATCCTCTGCCCCTCTAATATCCTCTGCTCCCTCCATTATCCTCTGCTCCCTCCATTATCCTCTGCTCCCTTCAATATCCTCTGTCTCCTCCAATATCTTCTGTCACCTCTAATATCCTCTGTCACCTCTAATACCCTCTGCCCCCTCTAATATCCTCTTTCCCTCTAATATCCTCTGCTCCCTTCAATATCCTCTGCCCCTCTAATATCCTCTGCTCCCTCCATTATCCTCTGCTCCCTCCATTATCCTCTGCTCCCTCCATTATCCTCTGGTCCCTTCAATATCCTCTGTCTCCTCCAATATCCCCTTCACTTCTAATATCCTCTGTCACCTCTAATACCCTCTGCCCCCTCTAATATCATCTGTCCCTCTAATATCCTCTGCTCCCTTCAATATCCTCTGCCCCCTCTAATATCCTCTGCTCCCTCCATTATCCTCTGTCCCTCTAATATCCTCTGCTCCCTTCAATATCCTCTGCTCCCTTCAATATCCTCTGTCTCCTCCAATATCCTCTGTCACCTCCAATATCCTCTGCCCCCTCTAATATCCTCTGCTCCCTCCATTATCCTCTGTCCCCCTAATATCCTCTGCTCCCTTCAATATCCTCTGCCCCTCTAATATCCTCTGCACACTCCAATACCCTCTGCCCCCTCCAATACCCTCTGCCCCTCTAATATCCTCTGCACACTCCAATACCCTCTGCCCCCTCCAATACCCTCTGCCCCTCTAATATGCTCTGTCCACACCAATATCCCCTGCTCACTCTAATATCATCTGCTCTCTTCAATATCCTCTGTCTCCTCCAATATCCTCTGTCCCCTCCAATACCCTCTCTTTCCCCTCCAATACCCTCTGCCCCCTCTAATATCCTCTGCTCCCTATAATATCCTCTGCTCCCTCCATTATCCTCTGACCCTCTAATATCCCCTGCCCCTCTAATATCCTCTGCCCCCTCTAATATCCTCTGCTCCCTCTAATATCCTCTGCCCCCTCTAATATCCTCTGCCCCCTCTAATATCCTCTGCTCCCTCCATTATCCTCTGACCCTCTAATATCCTCTGCTCCCTCCATTATCCTCTGCCCCCTCTAATATCCCCTGCCCCTCTAATATCCCCTGCCCCTCTAATATCCTCTGCTCCCTCTAATATCCTCTGCTCCCTCTAATATCCTCTGCCCCCTCTAATATCCTCTGCTCCCTCTAATATCCTCTGCCCCCTCTGATATCCTTTTTCGATTTCAGAAAATGGCCGAGCTCACAACAATAACTGACAGGGAGCCAAGATGGAGGCTCTAATTTCCAGAATGCAGAGAAATACAGCAGTGTGGATTGCTACATTAAATTGTATTTTTCAGTCCTCGCAATCACATATTTGTTAAATATAGGAGATAAACTGAATATATATCCCCTTCAAAAGCTCAAAGTTCTCCGATTTAAAAATAAAAAAAAGCATGTTGCTATTTAGAATCCCTCCGTATCCCTCATTGAAATTGTTATTATTCTATAGTTAGCATCAACTATTTTCTAAATCTGGAACCAAACAACACAGTAATCAAATATTATTCAAATTCTGGAGTAAGTCGTTTAGCTAAAAACTAGTTCTGCGTGCCAGTATTAGCACAGAAGGTTCAGAAACAATGCACATACTTTGCCGAATGTCAGTTTATAGATAGTCATTTCTAAAAATATTTTGGCCCTGAGCACGCCATCTGAACCTCAGTTTTCCAGCTAATAATATAAACACGCTACGTGCTTATTATGGCTGAATTCTGCTGGTGGGATTTGAAAAAATACTTTTTTCAAAAGTGAAAGCATATTTTTAAACACGAAATGTCAAAAGTTCTTAAAGGAAGTTTATTCGCTTTACAGTGAGCTCTGGTGAACCGGCAAGTGATTTTTAAAGTTTATGCAAAATTTGGCAAAATGTCAATTCGCTACGACTAACTATGCCAGAGCTCCAGGGCCCTAATTCATTTTCTTAAACAGCATATTTTTTATCATAGACCATTTTTGGGTGAGAGTTCATAAATCCATATGTAGCTACTTTAACGCACAGAAAGGTACAGTAAGTTTGCTTAATGTTACAGTAATTCTCAGATGGATGTTTCCCTCTGCGCTAAACTACGCAAAGCAGATTAATAACAAACGGATTAGTGAATTCCTGAATTCATAGCACCCTCAAAAGCCATGGATCTCAGGGGGGGCTGCAGCCAACGTAGTACAAGTAATTTGTCCGTAACCAATTTACG